TTGGTCGATGTGTTCGTCGTCGAGTTCTCACCAAAATACCTTATGGATGGAACCTCCTCACGATCAATACATCACTCTGCAGCGCAACACCATTTGTTTATCGACTCCGCTCGCTTTGCTCATTATTACTTCCCCTGGTCAACGTTTCCCTTGTTCCAAATCTCCTGCATGCAAGACGGAGCTCTACACACAATATATCATGCGTCTCTAGCAAGGAACAGGGTGATACTCTCAACTACAATTCTTGGTGTTGGATACTAGAAATACAAAAGACGCGAGTTTGTATTTATATCGAGCACAGGCGAATTATTCCTTTGGCGGGTAGATTCGTCACAATCTGGTGTGACTTGTGAAACGGGTAAGAGCGGCTGCAATGGCGCCCTAGTGCAGAATCATGAACAGATCGCTAAAGATGCACACGAGGCAATCATCAATGCATAGTATAGCTAGAAATTGCATGACTCATCATCACGTCTTGATATGTTCAGGGATGAATGGACAAGATAGGTATAAAAAAGCGACTTTTGGTCAGGGAGCCGAGTGGTTGGTATATAGAGCTGGCATAAGATAAATCAAAATCAAGGCTAAGTCTTCGAACAGGGGTATTTTCTTTTGGAAAAGAGGCTGGAACAGCAGGACAGTGCAATGAAAAACAAAACAATGAAAAGCGGCAAAGATGAGGAAGAGGAGGGAGATGAAACATAGCTGGAGGTATGTAGCAATGTACTCTCAAAATGCCGGTAAAGATAAAGCAAAATAAGGGAACGTCAGGCGGTCGGATATCATTGCGTGAAAAACATGAAGCAAGAAGAGAACAGAAAACTCCAGGGCAAAAAGAACTCCCCTTCTCCCTGGATCGGAAAGACATACATGGTCTGTAGAATCAAATCAAAATCATTGCGGAGGCCCTATGGGAGCCGGGTATCCAGAAGCAGGTGCAGTAGTAGCAGCAGAACTCGAAGGACGCGAGCCAATCGGGCCATGTGTAGATGTCGATGATGATGCGGAGATATTGCCGCTGTTCGCATTGACAATTTCGACAGAAATCGAGGCCGACCGGTTGGCGTTGGTATGGTAGTGGGCGTTGTTGGAGGCGACGTCGCCGCCTAGCCCGGGTATCAAAGTGGTGTTGAGCGAGGACGTAGAGCCATTACGCCCGGCGCCAAAAGGAAATTTGCTTTCATAAGGTGTCGACGAAGTAAGCGATGCGGACGAAGTGGCTGGTCGGCTGCCTGCCGCAGCCAGTGTTGCCCATCCGCCGTTTGTCTGAGTGCTGGCGCTGTCAGGTTCGACGTCAGGGCCATTGTCGTTCCAAGGATTGCGATAGCCCGATTCTCGCGATTCCATGCTCTGCAGCGAGGCCTTGGAAGCATTGTTCGAAGCATGCTTGAACAACGAGGACGCCGGAGAGTTTGAACTGTTCTTACGTCTCTCAAGGAAAGACGAGAAGGACGACATGCTACCCGGCTTCCTAAGTCTATCGAAGATTGATCGATGACCTTCACTACTTTCTCCACTGCCAAAGTGAGTACGAGTAGGTGACTCTGCCACAACAGGTGGCTCCGCACGCTGCAGAAGCTTGGAGTCAAAGTATGGCATCGAATCCTCGAAAGAGTCAGACTTTGGTCGAGGGATAGCACCCTTCACGGTGCTCGCGCTCAACCCATGGGAGACCAACCCCAGGACCAGGAAATCAATAGCATCCTTCAATCCGCCAGCGTTGTTACGCGTGTATGTGAGAAGAAGATTCTCAACTTCAATGTCTTCGTCACCAATCCTTTCATGCTTTGGTGCTTGAACAATGACCTCTACAACGTACTGGTCCTTGAGCTTCTGTAGGACATCATCGTGGAAATCTGCAGACATAAGGAAATTGCGGAGCTCGATCGTGCTCGGGAATGAGATATCATGGCTCTCGGGAACCATGCCCAGGAACTCGTCCACAGCTTGAGGTACTTGGTACTCAGGCCCAGAAACGGTGATAACATCACTCGCTTGTTCGGTTCCAGGAAAGGTGATTTTGCAGTTCCACTTCTTTTCGAGCTCCTCAATCTCCGGCATGCGGGCGACCAACTCACGATGGTAAAGTCTGTCAACGACAACTTGTTCGGAAACGTATTCAGCGTCAACTTTCTCGACCATGTCCATGATCTCCTGCTTGACGAGCTCAAGGTTGTCGGCGTTCCTTGCAGGAGTGCGACAGATGACATTATCGACCTTGACATCGTCATCATCTTTGCCAATACCACCCCGATCCATGGCGTTCGAGAACTTGACAAACACAGAGTATTTCTTCATGATACGTTGAATGTGTTGACCGCCGATGCCGATGATGCGCTTGTGATATTGATCCGGAACATGGAAGGAGATGGATGCGGGCATCTCCAGCTCGACCAGATCGAGGCCGTTTTTAGTAGCTTCATACTGTGCACCACGCACGTCAATGTAGAAGTTGTACTCGTTGAAGCCGTCGAAGACGATCTGGACGTTGCTCTGGCTCATAATCTTGTTGATTTTGCCATTCTTCTTTCCACTCACAAACTCTTTGTGTTCGTTAGCAAGCTCAACCTTGACCCGCAGAGTCGAGTTGGCCTTCTTGACAAAGGGCAGCGAGTTGATGATGGTCATGGCGGCTTTGACAGAATCGTCGCTTCCATTGATGTGGAAGTTGAGCTTTTCAAAGTTGATCTCGGCGCCAGAGTTGATACAGATGTCGGGCAGCATGGCGCGAATATCGGAAGGTGTCGGCTGCCTCTGCATCGGGTCTAATTGAGTCAACCACCATGAAGCACTGTAGAACTGACCAGCCAGAGACATGATATCGCGCACGGTGCGCTCGACATTCAAAATGTCAGTCGCTTGCACGCGCAAGAGGCCACTGTGATTGCCCAGAGGAGGCAGAAGGACATAGGAGCCATTCTGCTCAACAATTTTGCGGATCTTGTCTAAACGCTCGAGCAAGATGTAGTCGACCTTGCTGGTTGTAATGGCCACATCCTTGACGAAAGTTTTTGTTGTCAATACCAGGTCCTGAAGACGTCTTTTGGCTTGCATAATGTTCTCTTGACTCTCGCCTGTGATGATGATCTCGTCTCTGGCGCGTGGATATGAACCAGCAGGGCTGTAACCGAAGATGCCAGGAAATAGCGGAGGGAAGTAGATGGCAGTACCGGTAGCTGATTCGATGAGCTTGATGTTGCGGCGATGTCGGCCACAGATGAGGGTATGGAGAGAAAGCTCGAGCTTGATCGTGTCGACCTGTCGCATGAGNNCTGCACTGGCTGTCAGCACGAAGAGAAGACAAGGAGGAATAAGGTCGGATGGACGTACAATTTGGTCGATCATGATCAAGATCCTAGTCTTTGCATGCTCGCAGCATTCCATGTCACCAAAGATCATGAGACGCAACCTGTTCTCGACAAGGCTGTCTATGGTGCCGTGGATGCTGGCCGAGTCAACGTCCATGGGACGAGGGTTGAGCAGAAAGATGTCGGCTTTGGTACGGTCTGAGATGTCGTCCATGTGTCTCAGAATGTCTGTACGCACGCCCTCAGTGCCGGGTACCATGATGAGCGTCGAGTCGACGTCGACGGTAGCGGAGCGCTGTCTCGAGTCAGCGGGGTGCTTTGTTTAGCACGTCTTGCTGGTGATGCACCTACCAANGGTGATGGGGGTCTCATTCAGAATCTTTGCTCGCATCTTGTATACCAGGTCCGAGTCGCCAGAAAGACAGACGTTTGTGACGAGAGTGTTCAGGGGACCTCGCTGCATGCCAGGCACGGGCTTGGGCCTGGCCGAGGTAACGGTGGCCTGGATCTGGGCATTGCTGGCTTCAGTGATGACCTTGCACAAGGATCGGAGGTTGTCGACGTTGCGGGAGTGGACAGGGAGCTCGTGGTTCGGCGGCGGAGAATCGGGATTGTTCGGCTGGGGGTGCGTCCAGCGCGCGTAAGCTCCGGGGCTGGCGTAGATGACCGAGTCCGGGTCGGGGCCGTTGAGGTTGGAAGCGAAGGGGATGTTGAAGGAGAGGTTGACAAGGTGGCCGGGGACCTGTGGATTCGGCTGCATCTGATGCGGCGTGGCCATGTTCCGCTTTATGTTGGTCGGAGCCATGGACATGTCCTGGTGGTGCGGACGGCCAAAACCCATTGCAGGCGTCATCTTGTCCCAACCATGGCGTGCTTGGCCAGTGAAGTTGGAGATCTTGTGCATCGGGTGAGGCGGGAGGCGTGAGTGAACGAGCGTGTGGGTTTGTGGTCAGATCGACGGTCGAGGCTGGAGCAGCACTCAGACAAGGACAAGGAGCACTCGAGGTCCAGGAGTCGAGTCAACACGGGCGCCCAGAGAGCCCGCCAGTATCAGAGAAGACAAGCCAACCGGAAAACACTTGTCGTATGTTGCAATCCCCGACGGTTCAATGTCAGGCTCGTCGTCGTCGTTTTTCCACACAAGCGCGTATCACCGCCGACAGCAACAAAGCCCACGCTCCAAGCACACCGGGGGATCACGTGGACGACTTCCAGTTTCCACGACAGAGCGCTTCGCTTTCGGATGGCAACAGGATGTAATGCTTGCCGTCAGGAGAGCTACTCGAGCATGTGCATGAAGGCAACCGATCTTGGCAAGCACTGTCCGTGCGCTCCAGCGAACCGCAAACCCTCGCCCAATCAACATCCTTGGTGCCACGAGGAAAAGAGAGAGGATCCAGAAACCTTCTTCCTGTGCCAAAATCGTGATATTGTGGTTACAGAAATACGCAATACATCTTGATAGGGAAGGACCACGGAAAGTCATCTTAGGTGGTGTTTCTCTGGCCACACTTCTGGTTTGGAAGGTAGGCAGGGCACTATCCATTTTTGTAGCTACCTAGCTCCAGTGTGACACTCCTAGATGAGCACGCAGAGAGTTTGTAGACAATAGCGAACATATATTGCCTGCTACAATGGTCTATTGCGCATCAAACCTCTGATTTCCACCTTATCCCCTTTACCTCACCCCCTTTAATAGCCTACTCTTCTGACCTCTCGTCCATATTGATCTACAAAGATCTCCCGAGGTGCTGCTGGTGTTTCCTCGCCGTAGCGTGGCCCCGCTGCTGCATACGGACCAGCACCTTGACTTCCATAGCTATACCTCATCTCGACAGGACGTCCATATTCGGACCCTGGCACAACACTTACAGCCCTCATCGGTGCGGGTGGAGGCGCCATTGTGACTGCACGACCTCCCGATTCTGCCATTCGAACGTAGTCGCCCTGTGGTGCCATGCTCGCCTGTCTCGACATGTATCGGACTGGCTCCATTTCGGGACGCACACTATACGCTCTTGGGGCATAGGCTCCAGCTGGCGCAGACTCGGGTGGGTAGACTGACGCTCTGGGCCCTGGTGCATCCCTGATGTAAACGGATCCGGCAGCTTCCTCCCGATAGTACTGTGGCTCAGGAGCGCGAGAGTAATCTCGCTGTCTGTAGGCTCGATAGTCGACAGGAGCGCCTTCGGCTTGCTCGACCACTCTACGCACTGGCGGTGGAGGCGGTGGCATTCTCACTCCGTGTTCGTCCTCGTATACATTGTGCGCAGGCTGACTCGCATATACAACGGATTGTCTACTAGGTGCACCTTCGTACATCATCTCGCCTTCTGGGCGCAGCTGGGGCGCGACTGACATTCTAGGTTGTGCATCAGGCTCGTTCGCGTAGTACCTGTTGCCGTACTGGTCCACGACAATTCTTCTAGCTGGCGGCGGCGGGGCCATCATAGGCACTGGAGCTTCTCTAGCAGCTCGAAGGTGTGGTGGAGTTACAGATCTTTCCGATCGCATGTACTGAGTCTGTGGAGTCCTCATGTATTCATCACCATATCTTGTTCCTCTTTCAGGATAAGGTTGTGACACAGTGCGGTAACCGGCTGGAGACGATATCCTTGCCATGGGAGACGCGGGACGATGTGCAGCATGGAGACTAGCTACACGGCGTAGGTCCTGATCGTCTCTTCTAGGCCTGGCGTAAATACCAGGAGAGGAGACCCTGATGACAGCAGGAGAGGAGAGACCGTCCATACCATAGTGCATGGCTGGAGGAACAGNGGGTGGGGCCTCCTGGTAGTAGGGTTGTCTCGGACCTGAGACTATCTCAACATCTGGTGGCAGTTGGTACGGACGAGTGCGCGAGGGTTGCAAAGCAGCAGGTGCAGAGAAAGGTGGCGGAGACACAGGTTCGGGCTTGATGTATGGCTCGGGGGAAGGAGCGCTAGGCTTGGGGCGGTTTTTGCGAGCCTCTTTCGCTTCCTTGTCGGCCTCTCGCTTCCTCTTCTTGCCCTTCCCTCTTTGTTTCTTAAACGCACCAAGTGGACTGGTCTGAGTCGAATTACGAGGCGAAGTGGTCGAGCCGTCGGACTCGAACTGTGGGCGATATGCGCTGGAGGATTGGTAGGCATAAGGTGAAGCGGGCAACTGTGTGTTGGGCGCCGAGGGATAGCTCGTCTGGGATTGGGCGAGGCCTGGAGGTTTGACCAGAGTAAGAGGTGACACTCGAGCGGGCTGAGGGGCAGCGAGTCGAATAAGGTGATTGGTAATAACAGGTGCTTGAGGCGATGGGATGTGGGCTTCTTGCGGCACGAATTCACTGCTGTCTGCTCCGTTGCTTAGCCGGGTCACGTCAGGCTAATTGATACGGCACTTACCATCGTCCAGATCCATGGCATCAGCATCAGGTCCGCTAAAGGCGTTTGCATCTGGTGGTGAATACTCCTCCGAGTCTTCCCGTTCGGCATCGTAGAGAGTCTCGGTCTCGTGCTGATCGAGAGTGGTTGGCATAGGATGATGCTGCTTGTCATGATGTTCAACGACGACAGGGTTCTGCTTGGAAAGAGGAGCGCTACTTGCCAGACCTGTCGCTTGATGCAAGGAGAACGACGCTTCTGCCTTCTTCTTCGGCGAGCCCTCTTCTGACGACCAATCATTTGCCTGGCTAGAGTAATACGAGTTCTCGTCGAATGAATCACTCGCTGCAGTTTGAGCGTTAGCAGGGGGCTTGAGACCCGATACGGGCTTGACCAATTCCAGCGCTCTTTCAAAGGTCTCGGTCAGACCAACGAGAGGTGCCATGTCTTCCTGGTTCTTGGNAAAGGGCGTGTATCTGCGCTGCTCTGCCGCATCCTTGAGTTGTCTCTCGATGCGCTGTCTCTTGAGCTGCATCTCTGCCTTGATCAAGTCTCCGGACTTTGTCAACAGAACTGGATCAATGCCACTCCTCGAAGCAGTTGTGCCTGCTGCTGTGGACGCGTTCTGTGAGAAAGCTTGCGCGTTCCCCAGACGAGCAGCAGTAGTAACAGCACCGTAAGACGAAGATTGTATTGTCTGATCTCTGCTTGAGGCATTGGATAGGCCAGGTAGCTGCGAAGCTGAGGCATAGTTGGAAGTCGACGACGGTGCTGCGGCAGGTTGAAGCCGCTGTCTTACAGCAGCTGGCAACTTGAACCGCGCATGTTTGTCTGCCAGGACCGTCTCCTTCAATTGCAGCCACTGGTCGTAGAATGCAGCCTGTACATGTTGCTCCGCGACAGTGGGCCTGTAGCCATTCACCTGCGTGGAAGCCATGACAAAAGACTATTTCCTGTTTGCGAGCGTCGAACAGCAATGTCACTAGTAGCAATGATACTCTGCAAGAGGCATGCCTATGCAATCTCTAGTGATAGTGAATGGATGGCACGCGCGTTGTTTCGACGAAGGAAAGGAAACAACCGGCGCTGTGCTCAAGTTCGTGATGAAATTGTCAGATCGCCGTCCGCGACTCGGGAGTCGCCTTGGCATCCCCGGCTCTCGGTGACCAGTGCGGTGGGAACCGACCGCTGGGGAGCTACCCCTTCGTCTTCCATACCATCGACGTCAACGTGTTGTCTTTGCCGCTTCTCTCCCTCCCTGTTTTCGAGTTTTCGTTGAATGTCGCCCTTGCTTTATCGGTCTACTTCTCTTCTTGGTCGGTCGGGTTCTTTTGCTTCTCGAGGTTTCGTTTCTTCCACAAATAGACGCATAGAAATGGTTCAGAACAACATGGCGGACAATCGCAAAGTCTTCTTCTTCGATATAGACAATTGCGTAAGTTCAAATTAGAAAGAAACTACACTCCTAAACACTCGCTAACCGTCTCGATGCAGNTTGTATTCCAAGAGTGTGTCACGGTCACTTTAGTTTCAAGTCAAATTCTAATGGCATGCAGACAAGAAAGTGCATGAATTGATGGGCNNGATCTGATTGGTATTCTTTCTCTATCTGATCAATGATCGTGTTGACGCGATGACTAATCAGACGGTAGACAAATACTTCGAGTCCCATCTGTCCTTGTCACGAGAGGATGCCAACGAACTACACACGCGGTACTACAAAGACTATGGGCTTGCCATCGAGGGCCTTGTACGCCATCACAAGGTCGACGCCCTCGAGTACAACGAAAAGGTCGATGATGCGCTGCCACTTGAAGACATCATGTCAGCCGATCCAAAGCTGCGCAAACTACTCGAGGACCTTGATACGTCAAAAGTGAAGCCTTGGCTCTTTACGAATGCCTACATCAACCATGGTCGACGAGTTGTGAAACTGTTGGGTGTAGAGGATATGTTCGAAGGCATCACGTATTGCGATTATTCGGCTGCCAAATTCCTTTGCAAACCATCACCTGACATGTTTAAGAAAGCCATGGCTGAGGCTGGTGTAACAGTTGCTGAAAATTGTTACTTTGTCNNGGTACGTTGTACCTCAGGAACTTGTTACGGCCCCTGCTGACATGTAATTTCAGATGACTCTGCTATCAATGCAGCCGGTGCGACCAAGATGGGCTGGACTGCTGCCCACCTGGTAGAGCCAGGAGTGACTGCACCCACGTCACAGGTCTCCAGATACCAGATCAGCAATCTTCAAGAACTCAAGAGCATCTTCCCTCAGTTCTTCAAGTCGACTTCATAGAGTCCAGATGATATGCTCGCATCCAAATCAAGGACCTTGCTATACAGCTAGACGATATATTAGCGTAATTTTAATCCTTCTCACTTTCAATGTCAGCAAGACTTCTGAAAACGTGCATGGCATACAACAACAAGGTATCAAGATGCAGCTCTACATGATTTTATGGTAATAAGAAGACGCACAAGCATTACAGCAAACATACCATGCCGAACAATGAAATGGTCAGGTATTGGGTTAGAGTCAGGGTTGCATGAGTAAGGTAATTGAAACGTCTAAGGAGCCGCGGCGGGTACTCAGCCCCTATTGTATGAGGCTATGAACAAGCTCAATGGTCGAGAACTTAGCGTTTTTCTAGAATGAAAAGCTAGAAATCACGAAAATACAGAGGACTGGCAGAGATGAGCATTTGTGTAGAGCACAACGATCAACAGACCCCGCTCGTCAATGTGAAGGTCCTAAATTCGGCGCTTTTATACGCAGAATTGGCCGATGGCGAAGACGGGTTCATATTAAAACAAAATCAACGGCAATCTCGTGAGGCTGATGGGCAGAAGCCGCCGACAAGCGAATCGTTGAACGGTGAAGACAATCACGAAAGATTCGGACTGGCAAGAAGAGCATGAGATACGCGGCAAAGCTGAAAGGAAGTCCGTCGGACCTTGCTCAATGTTGATGTCGGAAGTGCGAAGCCGCGTGTTTATTCAGTACAGTGTACATGCATGTGCCTGTCAGCACCGCAGCAACGGCAAGCGGTGCCTGTCAGCATGGTGATGAGATGGGTTTCAAACATTTTTCTGTATCGTCGATAAAATTTAACAGACATCACAGGCGTGACTACAGAGTCATGGTTCTTTCAAGAGTGGAAGCTAGGCAGCAAAGAAGCATGACAGAAGGCAGAGGGAGGGTCGACTGGTTGTTTCATGGTCGTGGTTCAAGTTGGAACAAAACCAAGGCCCTTGTCTGGTTCCTTGAAATAGAAGAGACGCTCGGGCATTACGGCGAGACGAGTTAGATGGGGCAAGTTGAGGGAGATTCAACCAAGACCTTTTGGGGCTGGCGCGGCTGTGGGAGTCTGGGTTTACGGAGGTTTGCCACGGCTCCTCGTCGTCATCACGGCGGTTGTGGCGATGTTTCGCGTGAAGAGAAACATGTGCTGGTTGTTCGAGCATGGTGCAACTGGCAGGTTAGAGGATTAAGCTTGGCTGGGCGAGGGTGGATGGCGAACGCGTAGTGCAATACGAAGACGCTGGGCAGTGAATTGAGATCGGCCGCAGTCTTGCAGGTTGCGGTGGTCGAAGGGTGGTGGACGGCGGGTGCTCGTCTCGCTGTCACGCTGTGCCAAAGCCCCTAATTAACACGGCTTGTCCAAAAGGCCCGTGTTTCGCTCCTTAACCTTTCGAGACTGAAAGCCCCCCAGCACCAAGCACAGGCGCACAAACAACATAGCGCGCGACACCTCCCGATCAACAATCTTTTTGCTGCTGCTGTCGCTCCTCCTCTGCCCTTTGCATCTCGCTGTCCGACTCCCGCACCACCTCGTCCGCCCTACACCCGACGACCTCGTCTCCGCCTCATAGCATTGCCCACGCAGGCCGAGGGCTGGCCGACCAGAGACACCCGACGATCCACGCCATCTTCTCCGCCCGCTACCTCCGCCATCTGTCTTGCTCCATCCCGTGCGAGTCCACCTCCCATCCAGCAGTATGTCATCCCCACCGGACGCCTACCAGCCATCAACTCCTCACATTCGGCTGAACTCAGGCAGCGACGACCTCGTCACCATGGCCGACAGCCAAGACCACCAGGCCGCTCGCCAGCCTTCGTCTCGTTCGTTGACGAGGCCCGGCACCGCTGGTTCTGCTTCTGTCCGCCCCTCGCTACGCCCCGCTGCCTCGTCCAACAGCATGTACAATGCTGGCGCCCCCGAGTCGGCGGAGCTTCTCCTTCCACCCAGCCGTTCTCGTCCGTCACGGCGCTTTCGCGACGACGACTCACCCATGAGGTCGCCGAGCCAAAGTGGCTACAACTCTCGCCGCACGAGTTGGGGCTCCGAGTCGACAGGCAGCAGAGATAGCCGCGCCGGTCCTTTTGCCTCCCCCTTTGACGACTCGCGCGCCNNCCCCTCACGTGCCGGCAGCGACGACGAGGGTGTGAATACTCAGACCGTCTCGGAGAAATACAACATCCTGCCTTCTGCCGGCCTCCTTCTCTTCCCTGAAGATGTCGAAAAGGACGATTACTTGCACAATCCGGATCCCAATGAGAAAGAAGGCCGCATAACGTGTTCCGACTTGTTCTCGAAACGTGGTATTACCAACCTGGGTGGTCTTGTCCTGATCACCTTGGGAGTCTTCATGCTCTTTATCGGGTATCCCATCATGTATGTGCACTCTCCCACGATATACTGCCATTTCCAACACTCACGCCCTGTCTAGNNTACATTCGCTGTCAAATACAACGAGCCAAAGGTCAACTCGTGCACTTCCGACCCCATGTGCATCAAGAACGATGTGCCTCTCTTGAAGAACGTACGCCACAGTCTCATTGACCCTGCCACTCCCAGTTCGGTCATGACGAGGAAAAGCGTCAATGGCAAAACCTTGAAGCTCGCGGTATGTCGCCTGAAATCGGGTTTCGAATGCCCTTTCGCTAATTCCTGTCAANNGTTCTCCGATGAGTTTGAAACTGACGGCCGCACTTTCTACGACGGCGATGACCCGTACTTCCAGGGTGTTGACATTTGGTACGGTGTCACGCAGGATCTCGAGGTTAGTCTGTCCAAATATGCCTGCCCCTGCCAGAAGCTGACAGTCGACAGNTGGTACGACCCCGACGCCATCACCACCAAGGATGGTGTTCTTGAAATCACCTTCGACGCTTTCCAGAACCACGGCCTCAACTACCGTTCAGGTATGCTGCAATCATGGAACAAGCTGTGCTTCAAGGGCGGTTACCTCGAGGCCAGTATTTCACTTCCTGGCAGAGGTGACACGATTGGTTTCTGGCCCGGTTTCTGGGCCATGGGTAACCTTGGAAGACCTGGATACCGTGCCACGACCGATGGTACCTGGCCTTACAGTTACTCGGACGTCTGCGATCCTGGTATCACTGCTAACCAGTCTTCTCCTGATGGCTTCAACTGGCTTCCTGGAATGCGTCTTCCTGCTTGTACTTGTGACGGTGAAGAACACCCTAGCCCTGGAAAGTCTCGTTACGTTGCCGAAATCGACGCCATCGAGGCCAGTGTGTCTTATCTCGACCCTCTTCACTATGACGCCGCTGTTGGATCGGCCTCGCAGAGTTACCAGACTGCTCCTTTCGATATTTTCTGGCGCCCCAACACCGACTTCATCGAAGTTTACGACCCTACCGTCTCGGAGATGAACTCTTACCAGGGTGGTGTTTACCAGCAGGCTCTCTCCACCGTCACTCTGTTGAACAACGACTGGTATGACGGCAAAGCGTATCAAGTATACGCCTTCGAGTACGAGCCTGGTTCAGATGGTTACGTTGCTTGGTATGTCGGCTCAGAACCTACATGGAAGATGACTGCCGATGCAGTTGGCCCCAACGGAAACGTTGGACAGAGAGTCATGCCCGAGGAACCCATGGCACTTATTGCCAACTTTGGTCTCTCGTCCAGCTTCGCGCAGCTCAACTGGACAGGTCTGGCCGAGCTTATGCCTGGCAAGATGAGATTCGACTACATACGAATCTACCAGGACGAGGATGGCGAGATGACGTGTGATCCCGCCGGCTACCCAACGACGGACTACATCAAGAAGCACTCGAATGCATACGAGAACCCTAACATTACAAGTTGGGAGGATGCAGGATACGACTGGCCGCAGAACTCATACGTCGACTCTTGCAAGAGCAGTCACTACAAGGGACCGAACTAGAGACAACGAGGATTATCGCAAAGCATTTTGATAGGCGTTTTGATGGAGTAAAAAGGAAGTCATGACATTTTCCGAAGGGGCGACGGCAATTTCGATTTTCCGACAAGAGTTACAGCGTGCATGGAGATTTGCCATGTCTTTTATTTTTCTGCAGTGGTTCACGAAACGGGAAGTATCACACGATTGATTTTTGTATACACAAAATCCTTTCTTTCTGGAGCAAAAGGCATTTGGGCATACAAAGAGCTGGACGACCGAGATGGAGCCTTTGACTGATGGATTTAAATGTTCTGTTTTTGAATTTTTTTGTGTTTGTTGTCTGCGTGTTTCGAGAGTGATTGGGAGGGTTTATGCTTTTGGCCTGATCTACGATGTTAAAAAAGCAGTGTCGCCTTTCTACCTAGACGTACGAGTAATTGAGAAAAACACTACGAAACATGACTCAGACTGAGCAACGGGAAGAAGACATTGAATGTGAAGATGAGAAAGTCAAGAGAAGATCAAGACTGGGTATTTTACAGAAGGTAGTATATGTACAAGATTGGGGTGGTGTTGTGGAGTTTTAGGCGACAGGAGACAGATGGCCGTCCTTGTCGTACTTTGCCTTGAAGAAGGTGTAGTTGAGGGTGATGGTGTCGATCTTGGACATGTTTGGATCTCTCAAGAACTCGGGATCAATGTAAAAGAAGACGGGCATGTCGACAGTCTCGCCTTTGTTCAGGCGCTGCTCCTCGAAGCAGAAACACTGGATCTTTGAGAAGTAGGGAGCAACCTGGCCGGGAGTGACAGAGTACGTGGCTACGCCGATGATGTCCTCTTCCTTGCTCAGGTTGGTGGCGGTATAGAATGCCAGCGCAGTCTCGCCGGGCAAAACGCGGACTTCCCTCTGCTGGGGAGTGAACTTCCAGGGCAGAACGTCAGAGGTGGAACCGGCAAAGGTAATGCGCAAGCGGCGGGAATCGGTGACGGGGATGAGGCGCGAAGCAATGTCGTCTTCCTCGTACTGGCCAGCAGAATGGATACTGATGGGTTGGCCGCCCCAGCCCATCTGCTGGCAAATCATCTTGTAGAAAGGAACGGAGCCATAGGATAGCGCGACGGTGCCGAGGATGATTGACAGGGTGTAGTAGAGGGTATTGCGGTTCTTGTTCTTGAACTGAGCGCGCAGGTCTTCCTGGGTGGGCATGCGGCCCTGTTGCTTGAGCTGCGGGCTGGTCTGGATACTCCTCCGGAAGAAGGTGTGTGGTAGAGAGCGGGCGCATTGTGTCCTAGGCCATGGCTGCCATGTCCTTGGTCCTGCGCGCGCAAGGCTGCGGCCGAGTAGCGATATTGACTCCATGTTGGTGGGTTATGCAAAATCTAGACCGTCACGATGCGCCTCTCTCTCTCTCTCTCGGAGGTGAGGTGACTGGCCGCAAAGCTTACTCATCCACATATTATTCTTGCATCGTTCGACTTCACTGTTTACGTCAATACAACATAGTCAAGATGGGAGAGATCTGTGCTGTGTGTGAGCAGAACGAGTCCAAGTACAAGTGTCCCTCTTGTCAGTTGCGATAGTGGGTAGTTCATGGCCAAACGAAGAAGTCGCATTCTGACGGGCAGCAGNNCTGCTCGATCGCATGCTTCAAAAAACACAAAGAGACTCACGCCAACGACCCGCTTAAAGAGCAACCCACCCAGACCACTCAATCTGTCCATCCCGCTCATTCTGCTTCGACTCTGTTGCCTGCCACGAGGAACGCGCTACCCGGAAGTAGCAANAAAATCGACTTTGCTGGTTTCGAGTCCGACCCAGAGCTTCTGCGACTGCTCTCGAGATATCCCAACCTACGCATCCAACTCCAAAGTGTCTATGGCCTGACACTGGAACCTCCACCGCAAGAACAGCGCTCATTCTCCTTCAGGGGCAGAGGCAGGGGCAGAGGAAGAGGTGGCTTTCAACACCAGTCTCACTGGTCACAAGCAAAAGGCGACAAGGAAGCTACAGAGTCTTTCAGAAACATGAGGACTGCCGAAGGCGACGATAAAGCTCTGGCTGAGTTTGTCCAGTTGCTCAAGATGAGATTTGCTCCCGACACTGACCATGCTGCCAATTGAGCCATGTTGCTATCACGACTACACCAAACTCTGGCCTCCGCATCATCATGATTGACTTTCATATCTTCACAGCACAGAGAGACCAGCACCTGAAACACACTTTGGTGCGAGATCAAGCGTCAAGCTCTTGTTTCTGATTCTACCAAATTGTCCAATACCATGGCCACCAAGCCCAAACATCAGCTGGACCATTCCAAAATTTCCAATCGTCTGGGATATCTCCAAATCTTCCAATCATTCGGCTATTCTCTTACTTCAGCTCCTTCTTGCTGTCAATCGACATGTCCGAGAGGGGCCCGTCCTTGACCATGAGCGNACTAGAAAGAACCGCGTTAGCAACACTCCTTCAACTGTATCAGGCTTCGATACATACCATGACTTCGTACAGGACGTCAGCAGCGGCCATGGTGGTCAGTTCGGCGTTGGTATCGTAGGCAGGAGCGACCTCAACCACATCGGCTGCGACAAGGTGGATGCCCTCAAGACCACGGATGATGGTGCGGAGCTCACGGGTCGTCCAACCTCCAGTCTCTGGAGTGCCTGTTGCAGGAGCAAACGCAGGATCAAGTGTATCAATGTCGATCGACAGATACACAGGGTTCTTGTGCCCGACTCTATCATGGATCTTCTTGATGATACCGTCAATGCCAATGGTGTCAATCTCGCGGGCCTCGACAATCTCGAAACCACAGTAACCGTCGTTGTCGTAGTCAGACATGCCGGACAGAGTGGTGCGAATGCCTGCGTGGATGTTGGTGTCGTTGCGCAAAAGTCCCTCCTGGGNCCTAGAACAGGATCACAATCAGCATATTTACCATGTGGTTGGTGGTATCGGACTTCATACCGCATGGTAGAAATAAGTACCATGGTTGATGGATGCAACTTTGGATGGCGCTCCACCAAAAACTTTGGGACGCCAAGTATCTAAGTGACTGTCGAAATGCACGACNNACTTCAGGAATGTAAGCATACATCGCATACGTTGATATATGGTCATGGACACCTACGTTATGGGACCGTATGCCTTGTTCATGGAGCGCAAGAGAGGCAGGGTGATAGTGTGATCACCACCCAGAGTGATGACACGCGGCAACGTCTTTCCGTGCTTAGAAGGGCCAGTCATGTGTGCGTTTGCAGCAGGCTCGCGCATGAGAATGCTGTTGTGGCCCTCTTCGATCTGCTTCAGGGCCCATTCGTTGTCATAGCTTGTTACCGGAATGTCACCACAGTCAATGACAGTGGCCCATCCATTGAATGGGTTCGNTCTAAAGCTCAATCAGTACTGGGCCGCAAAATGGATACGATGGTCGCCACAAACCTGGAGAGGGACATTGAAGCCTCCGTAAAGGTTGAGACGTCTCGAACCTTGACGGATACCACTAGGACCAAATCTGGCACCAGGACGGTAACTTGTACCGGTATCAAAAGGTGCGCCGATGAAAGCAATGTCATACTTGCGAGCGTCGCTGGCCAAACAAGGGTGGTACTCGATGCGACCGAAGGTAGAGATGCCTGAAAAGACCGAATCGGCCTGAGTACCTCCGTCACCAGGAAGCGTGTTGTACCACAAGCTCTTGTGAGGACCCTCCTTGAAGGCTTCCTGGCTGTGGTCGCCGTGCGCAGAAACACTGGCTGTCAAGGCAGCGGCAAAGGCAATCAACTTGAACATACTGGCGAGTATGTTACAGAGAAGCGGAGGAATGAGATGAGGAAGAGGATATGGAAAGTAACCAAGGAAGCAGCAGCAAGGTCACAACTAATACTCTCTCGATCTGGCTGCCAGGAACCAAAAAACCTTGCAGCCGCGGTCTTTTTTTTGTTTACCTAACTGCACATTGTCAAGATTGTCAACATAGGCTAAGCTATACAAGGGAGCTCAGAACGAAACCCATGTCACCGATGTCATGTTGTGCATGCCAACAATTTCTCCGGACTGCTGGCGTCATTCCAGGTTGGAGGACCACGATATCACTTCGACCCCGACATGTTGACACACCGGCCTTAGATTGCAGCGGCGTACTCGTAGATATGCCCTGTCAATATTTCCAAGATCGTATTGCAATCTATAGCCCCACCAGACCCCACAATCCTGGGGTTTGTAAAGAGGCTTTATAAAACTGACGTCGACACTATCTCTCGATCGTCAATCTGGATTGGTAAAGCTCTTTATGTCGTGGGGAATGATGTCTGATTGGTTACTGATACCGGCCATTGGATCAACTCAATCGCCTGGTGTTCCTGCATCGCAATTGGGGGTTTCCTGATCAGGTACCACGATTTCGCCCCTGAAGCAATCTATCACTAGATGGTATGAACCAAAATTCGCGAAGGGAGTGGACAGAAATCTGGGAACCATCATTTTGCTACACTTGAGCTACCTATGGCGTTCTCGTCATTTGCAAGATGTTGAAACAAACCCCCAACCATAATGTATCTACCGGCTCTCCTCTGCTTGATAGCCATCAACGTTGTTGGCCAAACCGGACTCTACCTGCTCTTCATGCTCCATTCTCTCGAATGCTTTGCGGACTTGATGGTTCCAATCACTCCATGCAACAATCGCCCACTCGCCGAAACCAACTAGATACAGTGCAATGCACTGCCCGATCCACAAGCCAGATAAGCCCCAGCCGTGGAAAGCAAGCCAGATTCCCAGCGGCAGGGCGCCGGCGTAGTAGCTGATTATGTTCACAAGAGCACCGACATGCTGTCGTCCCATTCCACGAAGAGAGCCACCACAAGAGCCGTTCAGACCGTCCGCAATCTGAAACAAGGCTACCCAAGGCATGACCTCTGCAGTCAGCTTGATGACATCCTGGTCGTCGTTGAAGATTTTGGCGTAGAAATTCTTGACCGACATCAGAAGGGCAAGGACAAGGGCTCCCAGAATCATCGACAGCCAAGCAGCAACATTGGCAGAGCGTGCCGCACCTTTGGCATTTCTGCCTCCCAGCAGGTTGCCTACTCGTGCTGACGTTGCGACTCCGACGCCGAACGGAATGGTGTTCAGGACTTGATCAGTCGTCATGATGACTGACTGTGCAGCCAGAGGAATCGTTCCGAGCTTGCCTGCAGCGAGAGCCACGATCTCAANAGCCCACCACTCGGTGCCTACGTGAACAACACCGAGAAGAGCAAGTCTTGTGAACGTGCCGATGTTCTGGAATGCCTTCTTCGACCATCCTCCCCAACAGTCCCAGCCCGAGACGAAGCGTGCATAAGCCAGAAGAAGCAAGAACGACAACCAATACGATATGCTTGTGGCCAAAGGTGCTCCGAGGAGACCCATCTTGCAAGTATACACGAAAAGATAGTTCAGGCCTGCGTTTACCGGTGAGGTGATCAGAAGCACGTATGTGCCTGGTCTCATGATGCNCTGAGATTGCATTGTCAGTGCTTGATCGAGGAATTGCGGATGCAAAGTTGCCTTGCCTTGAGCTTGTAGGTATTTTTTCAGGCACTCAAAGTAGATGTACCCAAGTCCGCCGAGCGCCAGTACGCTCAAGAATTTGCTGCTATCTTCGGATAGGCGCTCATCCTGGCCGAGTGCCATAAAGACAGGTTTCGAGCACAACCAGAGAATGGCAACTGGAATGTACAGCAGACCAAGGACAAACAAGGCTCTCTGGAGAATGATGCCCAGATCGTGCTTGTCCTTGCTTCCGGTAAAACTCGCAGAGGCAAGCGTATCGATGGCGGTAGTACCACCCAATGCAATGAGCCAGCCAGAAGCCATGGCGAACATATAAGAGAAAGCCGCTGCTGCTAATGCATCAGGACTCAGTCGTCCGACGACGAGGACCGAGACAGTCTGTAGCGAGTTCTGCAGCATGTATGCAAGGAAGACTGGAATTGATCCATTGAGCAATACCCAAAACTCGTGGATGACAAGCTGGGTACTGCTCTTTCCCTCGAACTCGAAGTCATCGACTGATCCGATTGTTGGCTCATCGTCAGGTTTGGGAAGAAGAGAAGTTCTCTCATCCGGTTCTTGGACTTTCGAATCCATTGACTTGCGGAGGAAGTTTGGCAGCCATGAGCTGGCGCTCTCGGTACCGTCTTGTCGGCTATCCATGGTATCAAGGTTCAGGAAGAATTAGTACAGGGGATGCTGACTACACCTGATGATGGATATCAGAGACATGAAGTATATCGACCAGCGATCTACACTTGCTGGAAGATAGGTAACCCAATTTTGTAAGCACTCTATGAACGGCGTTGAGTGCCGGCCATGAGAAAGAGGGTTTAGTCACACTGCTGAGCGAGCCCGACATGGAGACGGGCTGAACATCCAGAAGGAGACTGGCGATAGGTAGCAGCGGATGGCATTGGTGTCGAGTCGAGTGGACTTCCTTCTTGAATAGCGGGATGTCGCCATGCAGGGCAAGACACTGACATGGATCTCTTATCAGAAAGATCTGCTGGGGTAGATTTGGGGAGTTGACTAAAGCCTGTCGCTAAGCAGGGATGACTACAATGACATGTCAAGCAGCCTTGTTATCGGACCTGCATATCTTATCGATTGCATGGATTCGATACAACCTTATACGTCGTGCAGAAGAAAACGATGACAAGCTTAAGAGGGATCGTCCAGGTTGCCTGCTTTCAAAGTCTGAGGGGTGTGGGCTGTCGTTCAAAGATAAGGGCTGGTATCGAGGCCCCCATCTGCGCGACTCTTTGCAAATCATCTGTATACAATGATGGCTCATAGAAACACGGGATCTCACAAATGCCATACTCCTGTCGAGACTGTCGATTGTAAAGCATGTTAATCAATCTCTGATGCTTGGTTCGCCGTTGCAGATTTCGGAGATGCTGTCACTCTGTGAGGCACAGAAGAGGGTCTGATGGACGTGCACAGACCATCTGTTGATTGCTCCTACTCGGGTGCCACGCGAGCGAGCAGCATCCACCAAGCACACTATATACTCGGATCAGTAGATCTGGCGGTTGACTCTACAAAAGCATCTCTCGAGGTGACATGATTCTTAGACATCTCGAGAGGATGTTCTCGACCGAGCTGACCACTGACATGGCTGTGCGATAAGGTCAGTCACTCTTCATTCTGATATCGTTGTCAAAGGTGACACAAATTTGGAGAGTGCAGATGGATTTACAGCTCTCAACAGACGTTACTCTATCCACTAGAGAGACTGTGTAATCTATTGACAATGCACGTCACGGGTTTCCACAATTTTGGCTTATGATAAAGGAGCATGAATATCGTTTCGCTCCAAGTGTGGTGGCTGCTTGCCGAGGGAAAGAGCAATGGAAGAAGACAGCCCCGATCGATTGCAAGTGTTTGCTGCTCCAAATTTGACTACACAAACCAGGATTAGTGCCGCCACGCACGCCTTTTGATTGTGCCGAGTGATATAGATTCTGCAACAAACCCACCAGTTGAATCAGCTGAGACTCGAGATATGAGATTCAGAGATAACACCTGCATGATGGTTTTGGCGAATAGGATCCTGGAAGGTACGGCACGTATCAGCCACTCCAAATCATCTACCAGGGCCACGAAAAAGTATCGTACACTTACACAGGCCTATTATCCATACGCAAAGATTGGCGTGAAGGTTGCTCCAATGCTCCTTGCTTATTTTTTCTTCTTTAACATGGTTCCTCCAGCATCGTGCACCTCTCTGCTCACTAGATCGAAGTCAATGCCTTGAAAACGTATACGAGTACCAAACATGTCGACCAGAGATATCAAGCCCCTCGACTATGATGAGAAACCGCCAGTAGAATCCAGCGATCGCCGAACATCTCTTGAGAATGGAGTCGGCGAAATCATACATACAATCAACGCCTCAGGCCATCGAGATCAACTACAACGGCATTACGGTCCTCTACAGATCTGTGGTCTGGCCTTGAACATCGACTCTGCCTGGGTAGCCTTTGCCGGCTCCTTGATCCTTTCTCTTCCCAATGGCGGCCCTGCTGGCGTAATATACGAATTGATCACTGCTTGCATTTACTATGGCATTATTGCAGCATCAATCGCTGAAGTAAGTCAGAAATCAGAATGAGGAACATACTCAGGCCATTGAGACTGATTTGATAAAAGNCTTGCTTCAGCCGTGCCTACTGCTGGAGGCGTGTATCACTGGGCGTCTGTCACAGCAGGTCCTAAATGGGGTAGAAGTGTTGGGTTCTTCGCTGGGTAAGTACCACTAAAGTCTGATGGACAAAGTCACTGATTGTGTGATAGGTATCTCAATTTCTTTGGGTGGGTATTCGACCTCTGCTCAATTATCGCCATCCCCTCGAACGTCCTCCTACAAATGTACTCTCTGTGGCACCCTGATTTCGTTCTCGAGGCCTGGCATACCTACTTGACATACGTTCTTATCACATGGTTCTGTGTGCTGTTCTGCATCTTTGGCAATCGCTTCCTGCCGCTTCTGCAGAACATAGGACTTTTCTTGCTCATCGTTGGTGGTGTTGTTACAATCATCGTTCTTGCTGCGACACCAAACGCACACGCCAGTAGTTCTTTTGTCTGGTCTGACTGGCAGAACACTACCGGCTGGAGTGGTGGAGTTGCCTTCTTGACTGGTGTCTTGAATGGATCTTTTACCATCGCCACAGTGGACAGTGTATCACACATGGCGGAAGAGCTGCCAAATCCTCGTCGCGACATCCCTCGAGCGATTTTTGCTCAGGTATCTCTTGGAGCCATCACCGCATTCTTGTACGCCGTAGCATTGTTCTATGCCGTTAGTGATCTCGACAAAGTCATCAACACCTCTGGCTCCTTCCCTGCGGCCGTCATATACCGTCAAGCAACTGGAAATGCTGGCGGAGCTTTCTGTCTACTGCTCATCATCTTCCTTATCATCATGATATGTGCAATCTCGACCGTGCTCTCGCTTGGTCGCACCTGGTGGGCACTCGCTCGTGACCAAGCCACTCCTTTCGGAGGTCTCTTTTCCTCGGTCAACGAGCAACTTTCCTGCCCAATCCCTGCCACTATTCTTGTTGGTGTCTTGGTAACAGGTCTCGGGGCCATTATTCTCGCTTCCGGCACTGCTTTCAATGACCTTGTCGGCTCCTTTATCGTCCTCTGCGCATTTTCTTATCTTTTGGCCATCTTCCCCCACCTGATCAGCGGTCGCAAGCACACTCCCAAGGGCGACTTCTGGATGGGCAAATATGGCTTTGTGGTCAACGCCCTCGGCTGTGTTCTGATTGTGTTCTTCAACATCATGTTTTGTTTCCCCTACGCGATGCCAGTCTCGGCAGATTTGATGAACTACAATTCGGTGGTCTTGGTGGGGGTCTTGGTCATTGTTACTTTCTGGTGGCTCATCTATGGATTGAAGCATTATCCAACGCCAAAAGTGCTTACTGAAGCGATGAAGTGAGGGGGCTATCTTGGGTAATCTTTATATTTAGATGAAACGGTACATGTTATATTTCTTGTTTTACATCCGATTTGATCTTCTGGCTGTTCGATCGTTCCTTCCTTGTATGCTTCCCTGAGCAAGCGTTGCACGAATGCCTCTTTTGACTGCTCCCAAGACCATATCTCACTGCGTCGGTGTCCTTGCATATGTCGTTGACGCACGAAAATCCTGCTCTATGCGATGTACATCCGTGTTATTGGAGGATACGAAGCTCGTCATTGTTATCTTTCGCGAATGCTTTACAAGCATCGCATAGATAGAAGCCATAGATCTTGCTCCTGTGGTACTTAGAGTTACCGTCCTTCTGACAATGCTCTCTCTCACACCAGCTAGGTGGTAGGGGGTTACCAGTATAGCTTGCTATCCTCGCACCCTTCTCGGTTACGCGTTGAAGCTCTCTTGGGGTCGGAAAAGATTCAACGGCTCTCGCGACGACGGGAGACTCCATCTTCCTATTTCTCTTTGATGTCTTTGACCATATGCGACGAGTATGGTTCTTCAGCCTGACAATTGGCAATACTTTCGAACAGGAAGTGATATCAAGGAGGTGTTGTTTCAGGGCTATCTCTGTGGACACACATCAGATTTAACAAGCGATTGTGTATTGTCAAAGCATACTATAACACTGTCTGTTGGTGTGGGAGAGGCATTGATTGTAGGATTGTGACATCCTCGGAGCACAGGAGATCTTGAAGTTGACCCCCAGTTCCATCAAGGCTTGTTATGGTTTATGTGTTCAGGCGAGATCATTATACATTACAGTTTTGGAAGCATGATCGTTGACCTCCATATCGCCCAGAATGTTATTCAGTACCTTCTTGCGTCACTTTACGCTTATGGTGACCAATTCTCAGCAGGAACGATGCCACCACAGCGTAAATCAGGCCCATCACAACAAAAGGTAGACCTATAGATGTGCCACCCAGTTGCATGCCTCTTTCGAAAAGCCAAGCAAGCAGAGGACCACCGACCATCAGGCCCAAAGTGTCGACGACACCGATGATAGTATAGAGTTCAGCAACCCTGTTCGGCTCGACTAAGCCTGTCAAGAAGGAGCGAAGGTAGACCGGGAAGCCACNCCCTATGGTTGCAACCATCAGGGATCCAGTGAAGAAGATGGCATTGGGAGAGAAGCCTATGGCAGCCCAGCCCACAAACATAAGACCAGCGCTCCCGCGAGCAAGAAAGAGATCTCTCTTTTGTCCACTCATACCAGCATTGGCAAGGACACGATAGACCCAAGATTGCATGCATAAAAACATGAGGATGGTCACTCCAGCTCTGACGGTCAATAGCAGTGTTGCGCTGGCAAAAGTCATATCATATCGCGAACTCGCATATTGCAGAAGAAGCGGCACAATGGTAATCGTCAACATGGTTGGGACGAACGTTACGATCAAGATAGCGACTCGTTTGTCGTACAAGAAGTACCCAGTAGATTCGACCAGAGGCTTGTAGCATTGTTCCACAAAACTCTTGACTTGGTTCTTTGATGTTGATATTGACTCTTCCTCGTCACAGCATTCTTCATCTGGTTTGATAACCTGCTGGTATCCGAGTGTCTCCGGAAGCCAGAGGGATAAAGGCACTCCGGCACAAAAGCATCCTATACCGAGAAACACTGCTACCATAGGGTTGCGTGTCATAATCCAAGACACCAGAGGTGGACAGACAAGATTAGCAGTGAGATTGGCGGAAAAGATGCGCAAGAGCACGGCAGATCTCGAATCCTGGTTGGTGATGTCCGAGATGACAACAAAGAATAGAGCTGATAAGACTGGGGAACCTCCAAATAGAAGGGCATGCAATGCTGACAACCAGGAGACTCGCAAGTTGAGACTCTGCCAGAACCAACCTGACTGAACGTTAACAAAGCGTCGATCGTGGATCGAGTATAAGGTTCCTCGAGGCTGAGAGCTTTACTTACAGACGAAAAGTTGCCATGCGATCTTGAGAGGAAAGGCACATAGACCAATCACCAGGATTGGTTTCCTGCCCCAACGGTCCGCTAGAATACCGACTGGGATCGACAAGACAAGNNACCTGAGCTTTATCAGCAATGACCTACTCTCACAATCGCGACTCCACATACTTGGTATGCATTCGAGGAACTGCTGGTAACCTTTCAGCATCGCAACTTGGCCCTGCACTTCGGCCACCTTACACCATCGCTCTTCAACACCACCAAGCGCACCAGGTCCCACAGCAGATCTAGGGATCAGGATTTTGGTTGAGTCTTCACGTTCCCAGTATTGATAGCAGTAAATAGATTCGAAAATCCTTGTCAAGGGTGCGTCTGAGAATTGATCGCCACATTGGACAATCAATATCATTACTCCCATGATGATTAAAATGGTGCGAGAGCTCATGTGGCATCGGCCATCGTCGAGTGCGGCTCCATTTTGGGATGTGGGGTTGCGTCCAAGGAGAGGGGTGACTTCTGTTTCGTGGATGTCTGGTATTTTGCTGGTCGCTTGAGATGGTTGTTCGACTTCTACCACATCAATGGTGTTCTTCGAAGATTCGGCCGTCATGTTGTTGCGCAAGGGAGCACATGCAACAATGCCAGATGGAAAGGCACCTAGACAAATGCAAATACAAACGGATAGTCGAAGAAGGGGTAGACTTGTAGTATAGTATTTATTCACCTACCTTCTTGGGACTACCTTTTCGGGGTGCCATGCCGGACTGCTCCTACCGGCGAATGTTTGAGATAAGGCCGGCTCAAGGGGCTTGTGCGACAAGGCATCCGCAATGTAGCGGCTGCCATTGGTTGACGGTTATTCAGCTGCCTGGATGAGAGACCCTTTGCTTGTTTTACTTTTCCCTATGGTATAACCAGCGAATATCAAGTTTTGTCATCGGCCATGCATACATTGCTGATGAGATCATCTGCGCGATAGGATCAGGTAGAGCAGCATGCGCCTCAAGATGGCGAGGATTGTGGCGACTTGCTAGGTGTCATATCATCTGTCTGCTCTCGTCGCACGCATCGATATGCAGACGCCGAATCGCGTTGGAAATGACGGCTCGCAGTGGTCGGAAAGGAAGAGGCATCCAAGGGTATCCCTTCGTCTGTCGAACGTGGCAGGCACCGAAGCTCCGTCTCCGCGTGTCCAAGCCTTACCTACGCCATGTTTTTCAAGACTGGACCTCTGAATTATTACTCTCTACAGGTTGAAATTTTCGGTAGGTATAACGGGCAATCACATATAACAGGATCAACAGGTCATCTACAAAAGAATTTGAACATATGAATACGGAAGATACTTTTTACATGAATTTTAAACCTTGTGAGTTCATGCCCTTGCAATGCAGACAACCAATCACTTCGTGTAAATGGTTCATCAATCATGACCAGCGCCGTTGCTTGCCTTCGGGCTGTTTCTTTCACTTTGAGGCTTGATGGGCCTCTTCTCTTCGTCACCACTGTCATCATAGTCCTCGTCCATCTCCATCTTGCGAGCCGCGGGCTCCAAGTGGGGCTGTTGAGGCTGAGGCTGCTGAGGCTGGGGCTGTGGCAGGGCCTGAGACTGAACGGGTGTCGGAGCCTGAGTGGGCGGCTGGGGAGGAGGAGGAAGCTGCTGAGCAGGAGGTGCTGGTGTGGGCTGTTTACTGCGCTCATCTGTAGCGCCAATGCGAGGAGAGGGTTGAGGGTTAACTTGAGCTGGTCCCAGGGCTGGTGGGTGGTGTGCGGCTTCCGAAGGGTGGTAGTTCTCAGTAGCACGTCGCTGGTCATCTGCACGTCGCACCTCTGATGGGCTTCTGTATGGCGACTTCGGGATACGATCCACGCGGTCTGGTGGCGAAGCACGTCTGCTGCTAGGGTCTTCCAGACGCGAGCGGCTCTCTTCATTGGCGGGCTTCTTCTGGGAACTCATGCTTGAAGTGTCATCTTCCCATTCTCTATGTCTCTTGGGAGGAGCGGTCGAAGGGCGGTCTTCGCGCTCCCTGGCTGCTGCTTCAGCTGCCTGCAGAGCCGCGTTAGGTGGAGGAGCACCTCCGGCAATGCTAGGCGTACCAGAAGTAGGGTGATGCTCAAAGGGCTGACGGCCAAACTTGCCATTAGGAGAAGTCTGGTTGTCGATTATGGGACGGATCTCGGGAGGGCTAGCCATCCTGTTAGGGTAGCCGGGGGCTTGGCCCTGAGCTGGTGGAGGGGCGCCCATGCTTGCGGCTGGAGGAGGTACACTAGACGATTGCGGGCCATAGTTAGGGTTGGCAATGCGATTTGGTGGGGCCGGACCCTGTTGCTGAGGCAGAGGCTGGGGAAGCTGGGAGGGAGTCTGGGCCTGGGGTGCAGGAGGGTAAGCGCCAGGTCCAGGAGCATTGTAAAGCACCTTAGGTGAAGGCGATAGGCCTCTATGAGCTGGAGGAGGTGGACGCTGGGGTTGATCCTGGTATTGCCTGGGCTCTTGCTTTGGCGGAGTGGGTTGACGAGGAGGAACATGCTGAGCGAGACGATCTCTCGAGTCGTACGGGTTCAGCATCTGAGGCTGAGCGCCGGGATTCTGAGGGTTCTGAAGGTCGGCAAGGCGGTTGTTACGGGACCAATCTGCGCCTGGAGGAGGTTGTTGAGCAGCTTGAGCTTGACCCGGAGGAGGAGCTCCCCACTGAGGAGCGGGTGGGCCAGCACCCAAAGCGCCCGGCTGGTATGCTTGAGGAGGCACATCTTGAGGGAGCGGTGCGCCTGCTTGATTGGGCAGCCCGTTGGTAGGCTGACCCTTGAGCAGGGCAAGACGGGCCTTGATGTGCACGTTGGTTGGGTCGAGCTCAGCGGCTCTGGAATAGGCATCGAGAGCGTCGTTGGTCTGGTTGTTGCAGGACTCGTACAGCGTGCCCAGGTCGTACCAGACCTCGGAGATGTTGGGATTGAGGCGAATAGCTCTCGAGTAAGCATCCAGTGCGTCGCGGTATTGGTTGATCTGATAGTACAACACACCAATCGAACACCAAAA